GCCCCCTTGTGGGGTTATCAGCAACAAGAAAAAGAAAAATAAAAATAAAAAAAGAAAAAGAAAATAAAAAAAGAAAAAGAAACAAAAGTAGAAATGCAAGTCAGGCTGGCTGGGCGGCGCTGCTGGGAGGTGACGGCGAAAGAAAAGCTGACGCGACGCAGCAGCAACGCGCATGCACTGCAGCAGCAGCAGCAGCAGCAGCAGCAGCAGCAGCAGCAACTGGCCCTGCCAGGAACAGGGAGAAGCAGCAGCAGGAGGCGACCCCCGCAGGAGAAGCAAATAGATATGATGAGGGGCTGCTTTCTGGGGCAGAGTCACCTGCTGCTGCTGCTGCTGCTGCTGCTGCTGCTGCTGCTGCTGCATGCGGAAATACATTGCTGCTACCGCGGCTTTGCCCCTGTCGTTTGCTGCTGCTGCGCGCCTCAGTTTGCTGCTGCGACTCCCTGGAGGAAAACAGAAGCAAAAAGAGAAATAAAAAAGAAAAAGAAAGGAATGAAAAGAAAGAAATAAAAACAAGAAAGAAAGACGCAAAAAGAAACAGAGACGCGAGGCTTTCTGATCCCTTTCCAGGCGCAGCAGAATCCCCTGCAGCAACTGCAGCAGCAGCAGCAGCAGCAGCAGCAGCAGCAGCACCTGCTGCTGCGCTGCTGCCTGAAATTAATACTCCTCTGTCTGCTGCTGAGCCAGAGGGGCCCCAAAAGAATAAAATGAAGGCCCAAGCAGCCAAACAACTACACAAAAGAGCAGAAAATATAAGAGAGGGGGGGCCCCCCCTGCTCTCAGGGGCCCCTAAGGAGCTGGGGCCCCTTTTGGGGGGCCCCCTGGGGGCCCCCCGTGGGGGCCCCCAGGCAGGGGCCCCCCATGGGGGCCCCCCTGGGGGCCCCCATGGGGGCCCCCATGGGGCTTCGCAGTTGGGTGTTAATTTGATTAGAGTTGTAATTCATAATGATGAAAACTTGGAGCCTCTTTTGTACAAGGGTTTGCCCTTGTCTGTTTTTGTTGAAGGGAAATAAAAAGTTGAAAGAAATGAACATTTAAAACGCCTCAGCAGCAGTCTTTTACTTCACTTTTTCCCCTTTGCTGCTGCTGCTGCTGCTGCTGCTGCTGCTGCTGCTGCTGCCCTTTTGTTCTTGTTTGGGTTTAAACCGCTACGATTTGCTTCAGGCTCTTAGCCGAGTTTAGAGGCATCAAACTTCTAAGTGAATAAAATAAAAATAAAAAAGAATAAATAAATTAAACAAAAATAAAAGTTCTAAATTATGTAAGTTGGCAAAAAAACCCGAAATGAATTGAGCAAAAGTGTTGAAAATAACTTAAAGAAGCAAAAGTTCATAAAAGGATTTAAACAAAGACTCTGAATTGATTTAAAAAATGTTTAAAATGATATTTCAAAACTAACTACATTAATTGATTAGAACAAAAAACATTTAAAGTTATATTTCAAAACCAAGAAAGTAAACTTATTTAAAAATGTTTGAAATGATATTTCAAAACTGAGAATGCACTTGTGCGCTGAAAGGCAAAAGTGTTGCTGCCAGATGGGAATTTTGGCTGAGGGGAAAGGAAAGAAAAGTCAACTTAAAAAAATAATAATAATAAAAATAATAATAAAAAATAAAAAAAGATAAAAAGAGAAAAGGATCGAGGGGTTAAAGTGAGGAAAGCAGTCAAAATCAATTATAATGGAAAAGTCTGGAATTGAATGCGCATTTGAATCAAATTTAAAAAGATAAGAAAAAGAAAATAAACAAAGAAATAAATAAAAAAGAAAAAGTTCAGATTCTTCTTTTCAATTTCAATTAATTATAATGAAAAAACTGGAACTGAATTTGCAAATGAAGTTGAATTCTAAAGCCTCAGCGGAAGCAACTAATTTCCAGTGAAGAAAAAAGAATAATAAAAAGTAAATTAATTTCTTACAAGGATAGAAATTAATAAAAAAAAAGAAAAGAGAAATAAATAAAAAGATGAAATTGCAAAATGCGGGAAATAAAAAGGCAACACAAAGATGTTGGCAAAAATGCAAAAAGATGAATTTAACAGAAATACAAAATTTTAAAAAGTAAAAAAGGAATAAAAAATATTCAATTAATAAAAAATGGGAAACAAAGAATAAATTTAAATAGTAAGAATGGAAAATAAAGAATAAATTTAAATAAAAGAACGGGGAATAAGAAACAAATTCAAAACATGAAAAATGGGAAATAAGAAGGAGATTCAATTAATAAAGAATAGCAAACAAAGAAGAAATTGAAACAAAAAGAATGCAAATAAAAAAGAAATTAAAATAAAAAGAATGGAGAAATTTGCAGCAACAAAAATGCTGCTGAGGGGCCTCAGAGGAATTTTGAATGATTATTTTCTTTTGTTTTTTAATTTCAAAACTTAAAAAATAAAATTTAGAAATAAAACAAAATAAAGAATTAATATTTCTGCGACTGGCAGTAGCCAATAAAGAAGCGAACAAATGGGCAATCTTTTCTCTTTTTTCACTTTTTGCAAAAGTGCCAAATAAACAAATCAAAATCTAATTCTGATAAAAAATTAAAAACCCCTTTTTTCAATAAAGGCCTTTTAATGCGGCCAAACTCCCCGTTGGTGGGGTTGTTGTCATTTTAAATACCCTATGTCACCAAACAGCCCCAGCCACTGCCTTTGTAGGGGCCCCTGGGGGCCCCTGGGGCCCCTGGGGGCCCCTGGGGGCCCCTGGGGCCTCTGGGGGCCCCTGGGGCCTCTGGGGGCCCCTGGGGCGTCTGGGGGCCCCTGGGGCCTCTGGGGGCCCCTGGGGGCCCCTTGGGGCCCCTGGGAGTTCCTGATGGCCCCTGGGGGCCCCTAGGGGGCCCCTAGGGCCTCTCTGGTGGGGCTTGGGGGCCCCAGGCGCTGCAGTGGGGGGCAGGGGGCCCCCTAGCCGCTAGGCTTTGTAGGCAGAAGGGCCTCTAATATATTCTGATTTAAGAATTTGATTTGGGGGCCCCTGGGGAGCCCCTGATGCTGCTCATTGCCCAGGGGCCCCCCTACAGGCTGGGCAAGCCCCACCCCTAGGGGGGCCCCTGGGGGCCCCTGGGGGCCCCCCACTTGGCAGGCCTTAGGGGGGCCCCGGGGGCCCCCGTTAGAGTGCTGTAGGGCGCGGGTAGCTAGCTGTAGCCGGTACTAGTGATAAAAAAGCTAATAAATAAAAAAAGAATAATTAGAAATGGATTAAAAGTATTGGATGTGAAGATGGAAAGTAAAAGATTGAAAAAGAAAGAAAAAGAAAAGGACAAGAGAGAGGCGTGGGCTGGCTAAGGGCTGGGCAGAAGGAAATAAGGGAAGATCTGGAGAAGTGGAAGAGGAAAAGTGGAAAGACAAAAAGAAATAAATGGAATTTAAAGAAAAGAATTCAAAGAAAGTCCCGGGCAGCGCAGAAAAGAGGGAAAATGAAATAAAATAAAAAGCGGAATGGAAAGAAAGAAAGGAGCAGTGCTGGGGTGTACGTACACCTGGGGCTGCGCAAGAGGGAGCGACGGCGAGGGACAGAAAGGCTTGGAGGGGCGAAAAGGGGGCAAAAGAGGGGAAAATAAAGAGGGAATTGTTTGTAAAAGTGGAAAACAAAGTTGAAAAGCATGCGAAGGAAAAAGAAGAAAAGATATTTGGGTTTCAAAGGTCTAAAAAGTCGGGAAAAAGTCCAGAGAGGCGAGGCGGCGGCTGCGGGCGCGGCGGGCCGGGGCCGGCGCCCCGCGCCTCCCCAGATGCAGCTAAGGCTCCGAAAATAGATTAAATGAGTTAATTTGATTGAATTTCTTCTTTTTTGTGGAGAAAATGGAGAAAGAAGTGCATTTGGCGGGGGCCCCGGAGCGGCCGACCAGCGGCGGGCGGGGCCGAGCTGCGGCGGGCGGCAAGCGCGGACTTTTGGAGGGCTTGTTTCGCTGAAACTCCTTTTAAAAATACGAAATAAAGATTTATTGAAGGATTAATTAGCAGAAATGTTGAATTAAAGTCCGCAGGTGTACGTACACCGGGCTGTGACCGCCAGACCAGCAGCAGGCCGCTCCCTCTCTCTCTCTGTCTGCCGTTTGTTCGTGAGTTTGTCTCTTTCTCCGTTTCTTTCTTTCAAACAAAGCTTGTTTTCATTGTTTTATTTGCTTTTATTGTTTTAATTGCCTTTAAAGTCCGTTTTGAAGCAGAGTTTCCCGGCTCCGGGGCTCGGGTTCTGCTCTCCGCGGGTCCCGTTCCTCTGCAGCGCAGCAGCAGCAGCAGCAGCAGCAGCTGCTGCAGCCGCCCGTTTCTCGCGCTTTTTCGCCCCCTCTCTCCTCTTCTTCTCCTGCTTCTTTCCTGCATTTGTTATATTTCAATTATTTCTGAAAAGTCCCGAAAAAAGGGGAAAAGCTGCAGCGTCGGCGGCGGGCCCCATACGAGGCTGGGCCTCAGAGAGCCGCCGGGCTCCGCGGACTCAGCGCAAGTTTGTGAGTTTTCTTTCTTTTTATTTCATTTAATTCCTTTTTATTTATTTCTTTATTTTCTTTTGCTGCATTTAAACTCCCTCGCTGCAGGCCGCTGCTGCTGCGCTGCTGCGCTGTCTGGACCAGTCGGCCTGCTGCTGCCTGACCGCCGCAGCAGCAGGGGCCTCTCTGCTGCTGCCAAACTCTTTAAAACCTTTTTTAATTATTTAATTAACACTATTTAATCCACTTTAATTCTTTATTGCCTTTCCGTCGACCTCTGTAGCTCCCCGGGGCCCCCTGCGCCATGTTGCTGCTGCTGCTGCTGCTGCTGCTGCTGCTGCTGCTGCCCGCGACTCTCTGCTGCTCCCCTTTTGCTGCTTCTTTCCCCCTGAGGGGCCCCCTTTTGCTTCCCACTTCTTTTCCCCATTCTCAACTTATTTAAAGAGCCCCGCGGGCCTCACAGCTGCTGCTGCTGCTGCTGCTGCTGCTGCTATGTGCTGCTGCAGCGGTCCTTGCAGCTGCTCGCGTTGCTGCTGCTGCAGCCCCCCCCCCTCCCCCGCAGCTCTTCCCGCAGCCACCATGCAGCAGCAGCAGCAGCAGCAGCAGCAAGAAGCAGCAGCCCTGGAGGCAGCAGACAAGGCCTGGCAGTTTGCTGCTGCTCACAAAACGGAAGGCAGCAGCCTTAGCTGCGCCTGGGACCTCTGGAAGCTCGCAGCGCCAGTGTAAACCGCCGCCCCAGCAGCAGCAGCAGCAGCAGCAGCAGCAGCAGCAGCAGCTTGTCGCTCCACTCTCTGCAGAAACTAGCAGCAGAACTGGAGCAGCTGCTGCGGGGGGTGCAGCAAGTGCAGCAGCAAATTCAAGAGGCCCAGAGAAACATCTCGTGGGCCCTCGGGGGGCCCCCCGACCCTTTGCTGCTGCCCTCGAAGCAGGGGTACTCCCCCTTGTCTGCTGCTGCTGCTGCTGCTGCCACTTTGGCGCTGCCGTCGACAGCAGCAGCAGCGGCGAGCCCCGCAGCAGCAGCAGCAGCAGGGTCCTCAGCAGCAGCAGCAGCAGCAGCAGCAGACTCTCCGCTGCTGAGCGCCAGCGAAGTTGCTGCATGCATGCTGGCCGGCGAACAGGAGGCCCCTGCTGCTTGTCTTTTGTCTTTAATGGATTTATTGTCAAGACAAGTTGGAGACACAAGTGCTGCAGCACAAGCAGCAAAAGTGCTGAAGAAGCTGAACTCCTGGGGCCCCGAGGGGCCCCCGGGGGCCCTCTCTGCATGCAGCAGCGAGAGCAGCAGCCAGCTGCTGGGAGCAGCAGCAGCAGCAGCAGCAGCGGCGGACTGGGGCGGCTCGTTGCCGCTGCTGGACCCTTCCGGGGCCGCGCAGCAGCAGCTGCAGCAGCAGCAGCAGCAGCAGCAGCAGCAGCAAGTGCTGGACGCGGAGTCCTGCGCGCTGCTGCCGCTGCATGCAGAGGAAGCCCCGCTGCCGCGGAAAAGGTCGAAGCTGTCGGGCTACGCGTCTGCTGCTGCGGGTGGAGGCTGTGCTGCTGCGCAGGGGCCAGCAGCAGCAGCAGCAGCAGCAGCAGCAGCAGCAGCAGCAGCACACGTGAACACCGCCCCCACCCGCTGCATGCAGAGGAAGCCCCGCTGCCGCGGAAAAGGTCGAAGCTGTCGGGCTACGCGTCTGCTGCTGCGGGTGGAGGCTGTGCTGCTGCGCAGGGGCCAGCAGCAGCAGCAGCAGCAGCAGCAGCAGCAGCAGCAGCAGCACACGTGAACACCGCCCCCATGCCCGGAGTCCGCTTCGCCAAAGACCGCAACAGCTGGGTGGCCTTCTGGTGCGAAAATGGAAGACAGAATTATAAGTCCTTCAGCAACAAAAAGTTCGGAGCAGAAGCAGCAAGACTGATGGCGATAGCAGCAAGACAGTCCTTCGACGAGCGGACCCACAGAAACAGCAGCAGCAGCAGCAGCAGCAGCAGCAGCAGCAGCAGCAGCGCGGGGGGCCCCGCCCTCGCCGCGGGGGCCCCCGCGCTCGCCGCCGCGGGGCTCACCGCCGCGGAGGCCTGCCGCCTGATGGGCCTGAAGCCGCCCAGCAGCAGCAGCAGCAGCAGCAGCAGCAGCAGCAGCAGCAGCAGCAGCGCCGCTCTGGCTCTCAGCGGCGGCGCATGCATGAAGAGGAAACGAGCTGCAGCAAAGGACTTGGGGCTGCCGCTGCTGCAGGCCGACAGCAGCAGCAACTCGAAAACGGAGGCCGCAGAAGCTGACGCACTGCGCGACGCAAAGCTGCTGCCTGCAGCAGCAGCAGCAGCAGCAGCAGCAGCAACTGCTGCTGCGGCCCCCACTGTCGCCGCCGCCTTCTTCGCAGGGCCCCCTGCTGCCGCTGCCGAAGCAGCAGCAGCAGCAGCTGCTGCTGCTGCTGCAGCGGAGAAGAAGGCAGAGGGCGGCGCGAACGGCGCGCAGGCGGGCTGCAGCAAGGAGGCCGAGCAGCAGCAGCAGCAGCAGCAGCAGCAGCAGAAAGCGGTGCTGCTGAGCAGCAGCAGCCAAGGAATGGAAGTAGAAGCAGCAAACGGCGTTCTTCCCGCTGCTGCGGGGCTGCATGCAGAGAGCAGCGCGGGAAGGGGGAGGGGGAGGGAGCTGGGGTGTACAGACACCCCGTGAGGCGCTTTGGAAAGCTTTAAATGCATGCAAAGAATCTTTTTGGCTTTTTTGCCTTTGATGCAGTAGTAGATTTGTGTTGTTGGAGAAAAGTCAACAAATAAAACTCTTCTGAACTCTATTTGTCTTCGAAGGTAAGTCTTGGCTGCGCATTTGGCTGCGAACTGCTGCACGGAAAGCCGTGCAGCTTCGGGTGTACGTACACCGCGCAGCTGCGGGCGTGCGGACGCCCGCGCCGCGCAGGTTCGGGTGTACGTACACCCCAGAAGAAGGCGCCGCGCGCTTGCGTGCAAGTCGCTTCCAAAAGTTTCTCGAAGTGCAATTTAAGTCCAATGTGGAAATTAAATTTAATTCCAATGTGGAAATTAATTCGAATTTAAGTCCAATGTGGAAATTAATTCTCCATTTTGAGTTATTTTGAATTCCATTTCTCCAAATGGGACTTCTGCATTATATGAAGCGCCAAGCCCTGGAGCCGCACGCCAGCAGCCCTCAAACTCCACTAATAAATCCCCAAGTCCTCCAACTTCAATTCGTTTTTGAAGTAAAACTCCAAAACTCTAAACTCTTCTTTCCACTTCTTTCCAAACCCAAACTCTCCGCGCCCAGTAGCCCTCAGTGCATGCATTTGCGGTGTATCTACAGCTCAAAGCACCAGCCCTTCACTCCCGGGGGCCCCGGGGGCCCCCCGGGGCCCCCGGGGGCCCCCCGGGGGGCCCCTCAATCCCAAAGGGGGGCCCACACAGGAGAGGCTGGAGGGGGCCCCCGGGGGGCCCCAGGGGCCCCTAGGGGCCCCCCTTTGGCGGGGCCACTAAGGGGCTTCTCGGGGTTTTCTGAGCTTGTGTGGGGCCCCCCAAGGGCCCCCAGCAGGAGTTGAAGAGCTGTATGTACACCTCAAGCGCGGCGGTTTTAAATAATTCTTTTTGACTTTGTTTTGAGGCGGAGAAAAAAACGAAAAATGAATTCGCATGCAAATGCATTTGGGTGTATGTACTGCGTTTTCAGGTGTACGTACACCTGAATAGACACTGCAGGCAGCGAAGTTGGAGTGTATTTGCTAAGTAAATATATTGCACATAAAAACATATTTAAACAATTTAATTTACTTTATGCAACAATGATATTTTTAATCAAATAAATATAAAAGTATTTGCTTGTTTGGTAGAAACTGAAGACTAGAAAAGGGAATTTACATAAAAGCAGACTTTGCCTTCAAATGTACAAATAAAAAAATATTCTTCGATTTATATATTTGAAGTATTTCGAGTAGTTTTGCAACGCAGAATATAAATTTATATATTATAAATTATTCCACACAAATCTATATATTATATTTATATTTATATATACGTATATATTTATATACATATATTTATAACATATATATATATAATATATATATATATATATATATATATATATATATATATATATATATATATATATAT